ATATGCATGTCTGAAGACAATATATGTATGCAAGAGAAGAATGCATGTATGCAGTGGCGTAACTATCGACGGTGCAGCCGGTGCAAACCCATGCAAAAAAAAAAAAAGGTTTTCATTTTTTTTTGCCCCAATGGCATTGACCGGTTCACTTACCCCTAGATTCCACCGGGTCCGTCTGCGGCGCGTTACAGGCGCGTTACGGCTGCGCCGCGGTGCTCACGGCGATCGCGGCGATCGCGGCCACTCTAGTCAATGGGTGCTATTCCACCACACGCGGCGCGTTACGGCTCAGAAGCGGCCCAGAAGCGGCTCGGCGCAGGGCTCCTCTAAAATTAGGATCGAATCCTATTTTTGTCGCGGCGCAGCCGTAACGTAAGGTCGGGCAGGCAGGAAGTGGAACGTTCAGAGCTATATATACACACACACAAACAAATTTTGCAGACCCTATCCCTCCGTAGTCTTTCAAGTAGGAGGAGAAATGCCAGCGTTCTCCTCCGGTTTACAGGCACTGTGTAAATTATATATATAGAATAATTATGATGATGAATGCATTTTTTTTACCACTAAAATACAGCAACACATCTTTGATTCATGTCGTTTATAACTGGAATATTACAGTTATTATTAACTTTGTCCTTTAGCCTGTCCAGGAAATATGCCCAAATCAACAAAAACTGCGAGCCGGCAGGCAAGACGCTCCGCTTCTGAAATGCTTCTGAAACGCGCCTGGTAGGGTATGACGCCGGAGGAGGCCGGACGAAAACCGCAACGCGGCGCAGACGGACCCGGTGGAATCTAGGGGTTAGTCTTCAAAGTAACCAAGCAACCTAAATTAATTTGTACACTAACAAGCAGAGTTGGGTGTAACGCGTTACTGTAATAATATTACTTTTGTCGGTAACGGAGTAGTGTAACGCGTTACTTTTATAATTCAGTAATCACACTACAGTTACTAACATTGCCCCGACACGCGTTACTTCGTTACTTTCATAAAATCAGTCATAATCACACTGACAGACAAGAGGGGTTTCCGCCGCAGGTTTATATGTACGTAATCTGCGCGACTCGCGCGTCCACATCTCCACGTGCAGTGCTGCATAAACATGGCTGAGTCAGCGATAACTTTCGAGGGGTGGAGGTATGCCCATTATTTTGAGTTTGTCCGAAGAATAGACAGGAATGTGACGGTGAGGTGCAAACTGTGTCCAGACCAGAAGCTGTTATCCACTGCTGCAAACACCACGTCAAACCTCAACAAACACCTGCAAGGACCGGTAACCAAAGCAGAGATGGACAGGCTTGTAGCATCCTTCATAGTAGAGGTAATGTTGCCCATTTGCACAGTGGAATCACCATCGCATCGTTCAGAGATATACTGCGCAAAATACAGATAGCAGGAGACAGAGGACAGCCATAGTCAGAGCTATCTGGATCAGTGTTATGCGACAATGGAAACTGAACTAAAGAGAACATTTGAAACTTTAGCAGTCTGCGTGATCTGCCTGTAGGGAGGGGCGGGCCGGCCCTGCGAGTAAAGTAACGAGTAAAGTAACGAGTAAAGTAACGAGTTACTTTATGTAGAGAGTAACGAAGTAGTGTAATATATTACTTTTTTTTAAAGTAATATGTAATATGTAATATATTACTTTTTTTTAGTAACGACCCCATCTCTGTATATGTGTGAGTGACAATATATGAATGTGTGCATTGAAATATGAGAGCAAAATTTATGAATGTGTGAGTGTAAATATATATGTGTGTGAGAGTGAAAATGTATGTATGTAAAAGGAGAATGTATGTGCGTGAGAGGACCAGTATGAATTACGGCCTGTACGGCCCCTCATAGAAACACACATACACATGCACGCACTCACACAAGAACACACACACACAGACTTTGAAAAGGATTCAGCTGGCAACCAAAGCATTTGAAGAAACGAAAGCACAGCATGGCCAGCCTCTCTTGGAATTTCCCTTTACACACCCACACACACATATGGAAAGCTTTTAGTTGTGCAAAAAGTATCTTTATTCATAAACATGGAAATGTCCCTCATGAGAGGACAAGTCAGGCTTCTCGACTGATGTCTGGCACATAGTCTGTCTGCCTGCATGTTGCTCGTTATAGAAAGGTAATGTTCATATCTGAAGGTCGGAAAAGCCCAAAAGCCTGCAGGACAAAATATTGCTATCTGACCGGCTGAATGAAATGAAAATGTATCTGTTCACGACGACCATCGTCATGTTTGGCTCTGAGGACAATTAATGCTCGATTCCATCATCGTCTCGGTGGGTGATATACCAAACTCCTTCGCAGGATACCAAATATATCCTGGAAGAATCATCCAACAATACAGCAGATAAGGTAAGCTCCTAATCCAATGGGGTTCTAGGTTTGCTGGCCACTGTTTCCGTGCCAATTGTGAACTCATTTGAGATCTTATCCCATGGAATCCTTCGAGGGGTGAAAAGCTAATCTTTACGGATTTCCTGGAGAGGGACACTGGTTTCAGCCTCGAAAATCTTGGAATTGCAATGGGCAACCAGAAATGCTGAAAAGGTCTACCGATTTTCACGATGTTGATGATGATGATGATTGAAGTGTCATTGGAGACATTTTGGTTTGTTTACAACTAGTTTGTAAGGATAGGTTTTAATGTGTTTCCAATGGAAGGGATGGGGAAAACATTCACAGTCTTTTTCAGTAAAAGCCAATTCCGTGCAGAAAGACTGTATCTATTACTTTTAAACACAAAGACTTTGGAATACCAGAGACTGTGGATTTTGCCAACCCCAATTAGAGAGTGAATACATCTATAGATATTTGTATTTTAGTGTTCATATGTAAATTGGTTCCTGAAGTAGGGGCATCCTCAGTCTAAATAGTCTACTGTGTTCTGGATTTACGTCTAACGTTATATCGCCTTACTTTGTAAAAGTTGATAAAGTTATATATACATCTTATATGCAGCTATTTAGAGTTAAGCACAGAGTTAAGTCTGCATGAACTTCACTTCAGTAAAAATAGCATGTACACTGCTGTGTCATTTGGAACCATGGTTTTATTTCTGAGAATTAAGAGAGAGACATTTGGAATGAAAAAACAGCTAAGAATAGCTCATGTACAATTGTATAACCATTGTTGAATTTCTGGACAACTAGGAGACGTGCTGAAACAGACGTCTGAAAAACAATTCCATAAAACCATAACAGGAAAATGATGTAATGATAATGCAATGTATGTAAGCATATAAGGACATGTTTATATTTGAGGAGTTTGGTATTAATGCATTTAAACTCATTTGAATGCACTGGTTACAGCATCTGATCTCGTTGAACCCTATAATAGTTTCGGTTTTATATGCAGGGTTCAGAGATATTAATTTATTTGAGTTAAAATGCCATTTGAGGTTAATTGAAATGAATCTGTGACAAATTATTTAGGACTAGGGGTTGTGAATGTGTAGATATGGATTCATTGAGTTACACTTTGGGCAACAACTTGCCCTTTATGGCCCCCCCAAAAAACGTTCAGAATAAGCCATAAGCTGTCCCTGATTTTGATGTACTCGTGGATGAACAGATAACTGGTTGCTTTATTGTATTACTTTATTTTATTAGTTATAAGTAGGGTCTTTTTTTCCATGATTCCAAGTTTATGCTTCACGGATACAAATGTGGTCGCACAATTTGGCATTTAGGCGCATTATTATAGGCACTACATCTTTCAAATCAAGTTTCAAAGTTATCAAGCTTTGCTGAAAGCAACTTTGTCAATCTGGCCTTTTAAAGTAGCCCTCCCAGCAACATCTGTGAGTCACATGTATATGGACTCACAAGCGAGAAGCTACACTTACATACACACGTACACACAAATACATCCATATAAGTTGGTGTGATCACTAATCAGCGTTTCCTTCCCTCCCTCTCCTCTGAATCACCTTGTCAATATCAGATCTCTACCCTATCATTCACTCGACTCCCACCGTCCTTTCTCCTGCCACTTCCCTCCGTCATTTTGCACCCTACTCAATCTATGTCTCCCTTCTTTTCCTTCTCTTCTCATCTCTCAGCTGTGCAGGAAGCTGCCTCTGTAGCCGCTGGGCATCTGGCACAGCCTCCAATTAATGAGACAGCAAGATGTTTTTCTCTCTCTGGCTCTCCTCTCTACTCAGTCTGTAACTTCAACCAGCTGAGCACATGAGCTTAACCCAATCACGCTGCCAGCAGACTACATCTAACACACACTTGAGGAAAGAAAAGGAACAAAGACAAAGAAGAAGCAACTAAAGAAATCTTAAGATCAGTGAGTGGAGACCCAGTTTTTGAGAAATTGCCTTTCAGAGACTTGTGTTAGAACACTGATGTACTTGCTTGTAACCGTGCATTTTCTCATAAACATTTGTCTGTACTTCCTCAGAAAATAACGCCAGACATCTTCATAATATAAATGTGGAGAGGTATCTGGATGTGATTTAAAATCAGCAGAATATTCTAAACAAACAAAACGTTTTTTTGGGAAAAAAAACCCAAAGAAGTAACTTTCACATGTGTTCCTCAATTATTCTGTATTTTTTGTAAATAAATCCCATTAAAAACCAAAACCAACATGAATTGGTCCTATAATTGTCTGTAATTCTAATCTGAACTGCATAACTCCATTATTGTCCAAGACAAAACGTTGTTATTGGAAATGTTAAGCAAAAACCCAGATGACTTTCTATTCCAATGTTTTTACAGTTCTCGCTATAGGAATGTATGTTTGTATCTAATAGGCACATAATTCCTGGGAATACTAGAATCGTAGCCACTTGCCAACAGACAAAAAGCAAGCCTACTTGCCAACACAAATACAAGTTTAATTTAATTTTCAGTAAATTCGAATATATTATACATTCAACAAGGACAAGCCTAACCCTAACCTGAGAACACACCATCCATCCATCCATCCATCCATCCATCCATCCATCCACACACAAACGTATGAATTGTATAGTCACCTCCATGTGTTGTAGAAGAGCAGGGGGATGTTGAGGCCCACGGTCAGCCACTCCTGGGCACACAGGAACATGATGCAGAAGAGTCCATGGATGGAGTACTCTGGCAGCACCAACTAGGATCAAGGATGCAAGAAACAGGAGGAAGAGTCAGAGGGAAGAAGAGGGGAGCAAAGAACAACCGATTATTCAGACATACAATACATCACTGATGAAGCAGAAAATCAGACACCAACACTTGAGTTTGTCTCGTTATTCTTCCACTCGTTTATTGCATTGCTGGTGATTTTGTTAAATGTAGATACAGTGACATTTGTTCCATTATAATAACTGCATGAACCAACATGAATAAACCAACACTTAGTGAAAGGGCAGTTGGTAAGCAGATGCCACATGATCATTTCAATGCCCTCAGGTGTAAGAAAACACCAACAAGCAGAGTTGGGTGTAACGCGTTACAAAGTAACGCGTTACTGTAATAATATTACTTTTGTCGGTAACGGAGTAGTGTAACGCGTTACTTTTATAATTCAGTAATCACACTACAGTTACTAACATTGCCCCGACACGCGTAACTTCGTTACTTTTATAAAATCAGTCATAATCACACTGACAGACAAGAGGGGTTTCCGCCGCAGGTTTATATGTACGTAATCTGCGCGACTTGCGCGTCCACATCTCCACGTGCAGTGCTGCATAAACATGGCTGAGTCAGCGATAACTTTCGAGGGGTGGAGGTATGCCCATTATTTTGAGTTCGTCCGAAGAATAGACAGGAATGTGACGGTGAGGTGCAAACTGTGTCCAGGCCAGAAGCTGTTATCCACTGCTGTAAACACCACGTCAAACCTCAACAAACACCTGCAAAGAACACATGCTAAGGTGAAGCTAATAGCTAAGGACCGGACCCCCGAACCCAGAGTGAGGATGTTGTGAGTGCGCCGCCGCCGACTCTGAAGCGGCACAAATTAGAATTTGGAGGACCGGTAACCAAAGCAGAGATGGACAGGCTTGAAGCATCCTTCATAGTAGAGATAATGTTGCCCATTTGCACAGTGGAATCACCATCGCATCGTTCAGAGATATACTGCGCAAAATACAGATAGCAGGAGACAGAGGACAGCCATAGTCAGAGCTATCTGGATCAGTCTTATGCGACAATGGAAACTGAACTAAAGAGAACATTTGAAACTTTAGCAGTCTGCGTGATCTGCCTGTAGGGAGGGGCGGGCCGGCCCTGCGAGTAAAGTAACGAGTAAAGTAACGAGTAAAGTAACGAGTAAAATAACGAGTTACTTTATGTAGAGAGTAACGAAGTAGTGTAATATATTACTTTTTTTTAAAGTAATATGTAATATATTACTTTTTTTTAGTAACGACCCCATCTCTGCCAACAAGTAACAAGTATCATCATTAGCATTTAAGACCTAACATTACCTTGAATTTTGCCACTGAAAATATGTCCATCTGCAAGTATTCCAAATGGCTTAATGTCCCCAATCTATGTTATGGAGGGCTTAACTTCGCAATGGGAAGCACATAGTGATGGCATAGCTTCAAATGTTCATAATAACTGGAAGACTCTGGACTACGGATGCAGGGCTAAGGTAAGGGTTAGGGAAGCAAGCCTGCCTATTTGGAAGGATATGTGTCAATGTGACTATATCCTAAATTGGTAAAGCTTTATAGCGTAATATTTGATTTTGTATGCCCTTAGCAAACCGTCTCGAATTAACACATCCAGCATATACAGAGCAACATCTGAATGTATTTCTCCTTTTTCTATTGACGTTACAAATGTAATAGCAATATTAACTGCCCTTTAACTCTCCCTTCTGTGTCAACTGTTAATCATAATGATTAGTGCATTTACGTTTACTAACTCTGCTTCTGTGACACCACAGTCTGTGACTCTGAACAATGTGGTTTGGAAAACCCTTTCAGTTTTACTCCTTTTACTGTAAATGTTGTTCATGAAGCATTATCTAAGCTAGATCCTAAGAAACCGGCTGGCCCGGACAACGTAGAACCTTTATTTTTAAAGATAGCTGCAGATTTTATTGCTCCACCTCTCACTACTCTTTTTAACCTCTCCCTCAGCACAAACACAATTCCAAAAGTATGGAAGTCAGCTTACTGTATGTCTTGCCTTTGCTAAAAGGAGGGGAGGCAACTATTTTAAATAACTATAGGCCAATCTCGAAATTGTCAGTTCTGGCGAAGATGCTCGAACGCCTAGTGAGTGAACAAGTAAAGGAGTTTTTATGTAAAAATAACATCCTGTCTAAACATCAGTCAGGCTTCAGAAAGCAACATAGCACCATCACTGCGACAATGAAAGTGGTGAATGACATTACGAGTATTTTAGATAATAAGCAGAGTTGTGCAGCTCTATTTATTGACCTTTCCAAAGCGTTTGATACCGTCGATCATCGCATCTTAAAGCAGAGGCTACTCAGTATTGGCATATCCAGCCATGCAGTGGGGTGGTTTGTGAACTACCTCTCTGAAAGGTCCCAATGTGTTCACTTTGATGGGCTGTCTTCTGAGTGGTTGAACATTGCTAATGGTGTTCCTCAAGGTTCTGTTTTAGGTCCACTTTTATTCTCCATATATATCAACAGTTTAGGTGAAAATGTGGATGAAGCTACTTTTATGCGGATGATACCGTGATGTATTGTGCAGGTCCCTCCATTAAGGAGGCTGGCGTTAAATTACAGGCTGTTTTTAACTTTATTCAGACTCAGCTCTCTGAACTTAAGCTTCTTTTAAATGTTGACAAAACCAAGGTAATGGTTTTTTCAAAAGCTAAAAAGACACCAGAGCCTGTTTTAGATATTGTTACTATGCAAGGACAAGTACTAGAAGTGCTTGCCTGTTATAAATACCTAGGTATCTGGCTTGATGATTGTTTTACTTTTAAACTTCATGTCAATAACCTGCTTAAAAAGCTGAGGGTTAGGCTAGGTTTCTTTTTCAGAAACAAGTCCTGTTTCTCACTTGAGGCCAGGAAAAGGCTACCCTGTATGCCAAGGCAGGTTTGCCATCACTTACTGTACGGAGGCTCAGACACTGGTACATGTTTATTTATAAAGCTTTGTTGGGTAAACTCCCGTATTATATCTGCTCTCTGATAACACAGAGAGTTGCAAGCAGCTATTGTCTGAGATTGCATGATGTAGTATTGTTAGATGTGCCAAGAGCAAGGACTGTCTTAGGTAAGACAGCTTTTATGTGCGCAGCTCCACTTGCTTGGAACAATCTTCAGCAAGAATCGAAACTGAGCAATCTCATTCCTCTGCATGTTTTTAAAGCTAGGCTAAATGAAATGCTCGTTGATACTATGGGTACTTGTAAATGTCTATAACTATGTAAATGTATCCTGTAAATATAATGTATGATGTCCTTTATTGTTTTATGTTTCATGTGGAACCTATATGCTGCAGGTCTCCCTTGAAAAAGAGATCTATGATCTCAATGGGACCAATCTGGTTAAATAAAGGTTTGAAATGAAAAATGAAATGAAATGCTATGAGATCTACACTATACTAGATCTATTAACTGCAGGTTTTCGACTTTTGTTTTACAAGCTATTATATATGTAACCGGTGTCGTTAAGCGGTCTCTGCGTTGTGTTTTGCGTTGTTCATGGATGACCCGAGCCAGCATACAGTTTTGACGATCTCCGTTTTATTACTGACAATCTGACAAAAGATGTAACAATCAGTCTTATATTAGCTTTCCCTCACAGTGACTCCTCTCATGTGGAACATTTACAAAAAGGGAAGAGGAAACCTGAGGGACACAATATATAGGGGGGGAAGTCTTCATATTATGGATATGCAACATAACATTATCTGCTCTAAAGTCATAATTTGATGAGGAAAATATTGGACATGTTAATACTTTAAAGTTGTTGTAAACAGATTAGAGCAGTGATGTGTCAAATTAGTCTCAGGTTTCACCTATAGGCAACTAAATCCTATTATACAAACAAATGAAACCAGTCATATGATGTATGAGTCAATATGAAGCAGCAGCTGGAGTACATCTGGGAACCTGAATATCACCAGACAGCTGAGAGAAAAGCTCAGGCATGTCGGCTATGCATTACAGTGATGCTCTAAACTCTTTTCTGCGGTATTTACCCACATACACCATCTGACAAAAACTGAACACCATTTGTGAGTCTGGTCTCTTGATTAGACAAGCAAAGTTGTAGGTTCCTAACACAGTAAAAAGACCCAGAAGTACCTCCATGATAAGAGCTGAATTCTCTAGAAGATAGGAAAGGAGCTACAATGCTTCCTTTATAATCTCCTTTAGTTTAGGATACACTGGACCGTCCTTTCTGAAAGGAAATAATGCTGTTCCACAAGTCTTTGCGGCAGCTACATTTAAAGTGAAGCACCATCCACTACACTATCATGTCAAAATACGGTGCATTTTCCAACTTATACCAGATTTTGCCAAAGTGCTTTGTTGTTGATGCTTAGAACCTTTAAGACAAGGTTAAACCAAAAGATGAACCATGAACATTACGCAAATTACAGTTAGGGGTAAGCATAACCCAAACCATCGTAATGAAATCATATTATTTACTGTTGTGCACGTTTGTAAAGACCCCAAGAAACGTATTTGTGTATTTAGATGCACTTTTAGTAGTCCATATACAGATACAAATGTTCGTTTTCCAACAGCCAATGCATATCAATAACATCCACTGGCTTATCATTTACGTTGTCCACCACGGTTGTCTTTCCTTAACCCAATGACATTGTTCAATGAGTTTAAGGAAAAGTGGTTAGGTAAAGACATAGGACCTGATTTGTTTTAACAATTGGATCGCAGCAAAAGTTTAGGGAAGTCGCTCTGCTCTGGTTTTCATTAAAGTTGGATCAAAGATGTCTATAATGTCTATAATAATATGTGTCCAAACAACTAATCTAATCAAGATTCAACAACTGTATTGTCATTTTAAAAGTAAAACGGTGGCACATTTTATCAAACCTTTCACATTTCACAATTAAGTTCTCAAATGGAATGAATAATACTACGTCCTAAATCACAAATTAGAATTAAGCCTTGTGGGTTTTATTTATCTTACTCACTATTT